TTTTATCTGCTTGCATCTTTTTTATTTTATTTTTTTTAAATCTATCTTCTTGTTTCACTTTCCAGATTTCGGTTGGTCTATAAAATCTTCCTCAATTTTATCTTCCAACTTTCTCTTGAATTTTAAATTATGGTTATCATACTTATAATTTTTTTTCAGTTTTGTTTTACCTTTAATACTTTTTTTTTTTTTTTTGGTGATAATATACGTAGCAAAACCTGCTCCCATTCCATAGTTTCTAGACATAATGATCAGTGACATTAGTTACATTCTTCACATTGTGTCAACATTCTCATTATTTCTGTTCTAGTTGTTTTACTCTCATTAACTTAAATTTCCTGCTCCCCACCTTGTCATCTATGCTTTAAAATAGCTCTTAACTATTTGGTCTTATATAGATATATATTTTCTAAAAGGACGCAATACTCAAGGGTGATCATCTTTATGTTTTGAGCGAAACTGTTACTTAATTACCTTTAATACATTTTATTTATTTATTGTTGTAGTTTAAGTGAAAGTTTACAGTTCAAGTTAGTCTCTCATACAAAAATTTATACACACATTGTTTTGTGACCCTAATTGCTCTCCCTATACTGTGACAGCACACTCTTCCTTTCCACCCGATTTCCCTTGTCCATTCAGCCGGCTCCTGATCCTCTCTGCCTTCTCATCTCACCTCCAGACAGAAGCTGCCATTCAGTCTCACATATCTACTTGAGCTAAGAAGCACACTCTTCACGAGTATCATTTTATGTCTCACAGTCCAGTCCAATCTTTGTCTGAAGATTTGGCCTTGGGAATTGTTTTAGTTCGGGGTTGACAGAAAGTCCGGAGGCCATGCTTTCTGGGATTCCTCCAGTCTCAGTCAGACCATTAAGTCTGATCTTTTTACTAGAATTTGAGTTCTGCACCCACCCTTCCCCCACTCCATCAGGGACTCTCTGTTGTCTTCCCTGTCAGGGCAGTCATTGGTGGTAGCCAGGCACCGTCCTTTAATACATTTTTAATAGACTTTATTTTTTAGACCAGTTTGAGGTTTTCCGAAAAATTGTTCAGAAAGTACAGCAAATTCCTATACGCCCCCTCCCCTCGCACATTGTTCCTCCTATTATTAACGTCTTGCATTCCTGTGGTACATTTGTTACAATTGATAAGCCAATACTGATATATTATTATTAACTACTATTAGGTAAAGTTCATAGTTTATTAACTAAATAAGACTGTAATGAAAACTATGGACTTCAGTTAATAAATAACATTCTTTGTGTTGTACATTGCATTGTACAGTCCTGTGGGTTTTGACCAATAGGTAATGCCATGTGTCCACCATTATAGTATCATACAGAATAGTTTCACTGCTCTAAAAATCCCATGTATATATCCTTCTCCCACTTTCTCTGAATCCCTGGTAACCACTGAGCTTTTTACTGTCTCTATAATTTTGCCTTTTCCAGAATGTCATATAATTAGAATCATACAGTATGTAGCTTTTTCAGACTGGTTTCTTTCACTTAGTAAAAAGTTTAAGTTGCCTCCATGTCTTTCCTAGCTTGATAGCTCATTTCTTTTTATCGCTGACTAATACTCCATTGTATGGATGTACCACAGTTTATCCACTCACCTATTGAAGGTCATCTTGCTTGCTTCCCATTTTTGGCAATTATGAATAAAGCTGCCATAAACTTTCGTGTGCAGCTTTTTATGTGGACACATACTTTTTTCAAGAGCTTTATTTTGTTCTCCGACCCACTCCTCTTTTAGAGCATCCTGTTCTTATTTTCATGGATGCAATATTGTTTCAGCTATCTGAGGATTTTAATTATAGTTTTGTTTCTTGTGATGTTTTCTTCTGTGTTAGGCATTGTTGTTTCACCAGAATTCCTTCCTTTTTGTTTTCTTCTTTTTGGTTTTGTCTATTTTATACTGGTGACTTTCCTCAAATGTCTGGAGATGGCTATTTGTTCACATATGGGTGATGTGCTAAAGATTTGATGAGTGACTCAGTGTGTGTGTGTGTGTGGGGTCTTCTGACAGGTGAGCTTCACTAGAAGGGGATCAGGTAGCAAGCCAACTTTTTTCTGGCGGGGAACCTCCAAATGTCATAAAATTGAGACCATTCAATTTTTCCAGAGGAGGGTCCTTCAGTATTCTTCCTGGAGGAGGGGGTTGTGGATAAGCCTCACTGGGTCCCTCCATTGAGCACACAGACTTTACTTAAAATCCTCAGTTTTGGTCTGTTGCCTCAGTTTCATGCTCTACTGTGCCTGGTGTCTTTAAGTTCAGGATTTCTCTGGTTCAGTTTCTCCAGAGAATAAACTGCCTCCTGAGGGAGAGGGGTGGGGATGGCGTGAGGTGTAATTGTTCCTTTCAGACTTGAAATCGATTTCCCTGTTTTCAGTCCCATGTTTCACACCTATTTCTGTGGTAGCCAGTGCCTCCAATTCCTGGGCTTTTGTAGGGCACTGGATTGTTTCTCCTCAGTATTCACTTCTCCAGGCACTTAGTTCTCACCCTTCTTGGCTTTGCTGTGCTGTGCATCCTCTCATCTACGTTCCATCTTCATGTATTTTGATTCAAGATTGCAAGTATTTGGTCTTTTGTGCAAGATTCAATTTGTCATTACTATCTGTCCTTAGCACCAAGCATGGTATCTGGCACATAGAAGGCATTCAAATATCTTCTTTTCAGGAGTTAAAGAGTTTCTTAGACTCTACTGCAGTTTGGGATGAGTCTTTTTTTCTGAGAATTTCTTTAATGCTCACAACTGTGTGCGGGGTTAAAGGTGTAGTAGAGGTGGCCATCAGGAGGCTACTACAATTCAGATGAGATGTTGGTGGTTTCTTCTTCTCATCTGTTGGACCAGAGATGATTATCCTGAGTGCTATCCATTTCCATCCTTGGAATTTTTATTCTGTACCTCCAGTTCCATTCTTCTCCAAGCCCATATTTCTAGAAATATAGCCTCCACACCTAGTCATCAGATGGCTGCTCTTCTTTGTGGCCCACTTGTGTGTGTGACTTTTCCAAATGTGTTATTTTGCAGGGGTGATTTATAATCAGGGTATTATAGAGTTCAAGTCATTCGGAGAAATGATATTAGGCATGAATGACAGGCAAGAAGCCCATCAGTGTACAACAGTTACAATTTATCAGAGAATTCCTCCCTGACCCACCCTACCCTGCTGGGTCCTTCTATTACGTATCTCAAACCCTGTGTATGCTTCCCTTGCAGCACTTATTACAATTGTCATGCACTGTTTTAGAAGTTGTTTTTTAATGACTCTCACCAAACTTTAAGCAAGGACTGTGTCTCTCTGCTCTCCTCAGCAATCAGTAGAGAGTTCAGAACATAAACATGGTGCTCAATGACTATCTGCTGAATGAATGAGTGATGAACCTGTCAAAGTCCAGGTGGCTCACATGCATGTATAGACAACATTTATGTGCAGGAAACCAGCTTACACACAGTTCACCTTATTCTATGGCCCAAGCAGAAGTGTCCTGTGTCCAAATAAGAAATCAGAAATAGGTAAATTTTAAGGGGGGTAGTTTTCAAAACTATGGGGAAAAATAAACACCTGACAAGAAATTAATTTATAAATCAGTTTATTTACAGATTTTATCTTTTCTTAAAGTATATTTCAGTTAACAAATCTATTTACACAGGTATACACGGGAATTCATCCCAGTTATTTTACAGATCATACTTACAAACCACACCCTTAAGTCTTCTGTGCAAAGCTGCACTGGATGTGACTATTGGCTGAAAATGGCCTGATGACCAGGCTATTTACACATACACAGTAAACGGGTTTATTTTTCATGTCTGCACAATACAGTACACACAAGGAGGCTGGGCCTCCCAGAGAATGCTTTGCAATGTGTTTTACCAAGAAGGCTTTGCAAAGTCTGGAAGGAAAAGCTATTATTAAACATAGGTTAATTAAAATGACAGTACCTCCTTTACATCAGTTAACATTTTTTTCTTCACATTTTTATAATACAAAGATATTTTATTGAATTGCTGCACAACCAGTTTAAGATGATTTGTAAACATATAAATTCCTACAATTTGCATTAAACATCATTGTAGTTTCTATCATTTGCTTTTTGAATTAATGTTTTATTCACTAGTATTCTTAAGGTAGTAAAAGGAAGATGTAAGTTTGAACTCCTTGCATAAAAGTTATGAGTCTCTAATGCTGTGCTACAGAAATTCTTTTGCGAGTACACACTTTATTCAAGTATTGCAAAAAGCTAAGGCCACTTTTTTCAAGACAAGAAAGTGAACAAAATTGGTTTTATCAATAGGCCACAACACTCTCATGAGCAATGAAATCTCTTTAGAAAGATAATTTCTCAGAGACCTGTAGTCACAGGAGGAATTTTCTTTTCTTTTAGGTAAAAGAAAAATAAATTACCTTCCTTATTAACTACTTTTGAGCTCTTCCCACTTTTCCCTAGAGTAAAATTCCTGTTTAGACCTGAAGAGGGAATCTATACCCTGTACTTATTTAACCCAGAGTTAGGGACCCTGGATAGCACAAATTATTTTGGACTCAGAAGTAAATCTGAAGCCTAGACGTTGGTTTACAACTAAATTCTGATGGTGCTATTCTAAAAGATATTACTGCTGATGTAAAGATCTTTTACTTAGAGGAATAATGAAGAAAGAGTGAAAGAGATGGGGGAGTGGGGAGAAGGAATAAAGATTAGAAAGAGGGACTATTTAGATTCTTGGTTAAGAGGCAGAGCTTGATTAAAAAGATCCCAATAAGGAACGAGTGGCTGGGTATCCGTATTTATCCTTCCTGACACCAACAATAAACCCATTTACAATTATATCCAGGTAGTTAAAATAAGAAGAAATCTGCTAATTATAGATTCCTTGGATTTTTTTTGCTACCAAACTATGAATAATCATTTCCAGCAAGGCATAAAACCAATCTATTCCTGCCTCTCATCTGGAACCCAGGATACTTAACATAGTAAGGACAGCTGGGGCACGTTAGGGCCCCTGCTGCCACATTCTTGGCAGCATTTCTTACCAGGGGACTCTAAGCCCAGATTGCTGAGCCATGGACTTACATTATTATTTTTCCCTTTTCTGGGACTGTAATGGCATAAAGAGTAAAGATAAACTTTTATATTAAAAGTTGATTTTAGGCCCAAATAATGAGGGTGTAGAAAAAGAACCTATACTCCTATAATATTTTCATATTAGTTTATAAAAAATGTACAGCAGCTATAAAGTTGCAGTATCATAAGGACAACGTGATCCTACAAACAGCCAAAGGATGAGACAAGATGTTTTCTGTCTTCCAAACACAAACTGAAAAGCAAAGCCTCTGCTTTTCCTTGGCTACATGAAAATAGTTATTTCCACACTACTGGTTAATAACCCCAAGAAATCCTTGCTTCTCTAGTCAATTTGCTCATTATGGCTACAGGACTACAGCTCAACGTCAAAAGCCCAGAAAAAATGCTGGTAATACATTGATCTGAGCATCCCCCTAGACCCAATCACAACATTTCAGTGCTTTCCTTATTTGTCAAGAGCTACCATACCAGTTATTGTGCAAAATGCAAATATTCAATGATTATTTCAGTAAGTTTCTCATAATGACAAGATGAAACCAAGAGAAATGGAAGTGTGCATAGTGAAAAATTTGAGACGCAAAGGCAAGTTCAGAGGAAAGATGCAGAAATGAACGAACATGCACACTTAAAAGATTAGACCATCTTTGGGGTTTTTCTAACATATTTTGAAGCTATAACATTCCAGGATATTTGTAAGTATGAATCCAGTAGATGTCTTATATCATGCTTCTAATCAGGACCTTCAATATTAAGGCATTTACATTCACGCCTAAGATTATCCGCATTCTTCTAGATTACTTGAAGAGGGATAGGACTGATTAAGAGAAACCAGTCAAGAAGGCAGGACCCTGAGGTCCCAGGAGAGCATCACGTGTGCTCTCATGTAGCAGCTGGAGTCTATGTACTTTTTCAGATGTAGGTACTAGTTGTGAGAAGCAATGCTGCAGGAGAGGTGGGATTAAATTGTACAGTGTCTTTAAATCATCTTATCCCATTCCTGCTCCTGCAGGTGGTCTTGGAACAGCGCATCTTCTTTTCACTGAATTAAACTGACTTCTTCGATATGTATATGGATTTGTTCAAACCGTAGGTTTCCTGTGCAAAGACTGTGAACCACAGAAGCTTCAAGACAGAAGTTTAACTATTACAAGCAAGAATCTTTCACTTCTGAATAGGGACACACATTTTCAACTCAATAATTTATCTTAAAATAAATTAAAAAATGTTCCATAGCACAAAACAAGCACACAAAAAATAGACGATATATTTTTGTCTTTGGTGCACACACTCATTTCCTAAATCATTCAAGTAACGGTGTCTCTGATTTCTTGGGTAGAGATGGGAGTTGAAGGTTTGAAGGCCAAAATGAATTATTTCCACTTTTGCCATGCCTGGGTGCCTGAGATGGTCCTGAGTATCTGTGATTCTGGGAGCAGCTGGCAGAGGTTCAGAAGGGGTAAGAAAAGTGCAAGGTACAACAAAGGGTGGAAGAACCAGCGCTGCATCAGTCCTTTGAGCCCAGTCTTCAGTGGGGCATTTCTTTGTTTTCATGCCCATATAAACTAAAAATAATGCAATGGTTTAAAACTCTTTAGATGGTGCTTAGAAAGCAAGGCTACCATTTATTTCTGTTAACTTGACAGTCCATTTGGATCTCCTAAACTGCAATAATGGAAGAAAATGGTCTTCAAAAAAAAAAAAATGAAATGAACTTGAGAATGTGAAACAGGCACACATTAAACCTGCCTATTTAGAAGTGGTTGTGGGTTTAATACTGTTTAGAGACTGTAATGTCCATTTATGACTTTCATGGTACAGGCCAGCAATACATTAAAAAATGATATGATGCATATATCTATATAGCTCTCTTGTCTGACTTCAGACTTGAGGAAGTGATACCCTAGTCTAAGCTAAGAGGTAAGTCTGGTGTTTTCAGCCCTCATCTGAGACTTAATAGGGGTGTTAACAAGAGGTGTAGAATTATATTGGGTGTTAACATTAGGAGTGCAACTCTGTCCACTGAAAATAACCAATTAATCCAGTGGACAGTCTCTAAAGGCAAAGGCTGTAATACCAGATATACCACAATGTCCCATGAACTCCAAACCAGCAGTCTTTAAGAACAGGTACAAAGTCCAAAAGCACTCTTGCTATGATGGAGATGGGGTGTATATCAGGAGGCAGAAAGGCCCAGGACTCATGTTAGCACTCAGTGTTCGATTTATTTGCAAGGTGTCACACAAGTAGCATTCTCCCCTGTTTTTCACTGATCTGATTCAGAACATCAATAGTATCTCTGATCAAGGTCTCGAAGATCCCATCAGCTAACTGCATCTTCACACACAGCTCATCCTCGTCATAGTTCACCCACTGTGCCTCCTCCTCGTGGAGCTCCTGTACCTAGAATGCAGAAGAGAAGATATTTAGGGAGTCACTCTTACACAAAAGCTAGGAAACCAATTATATTTGTTGACTTTGTGGTCTCATCCATGAGAATACAGCTCAAGAAAATAAGCCAGAAGAAAAAAAGTAATGTATATGATGATATCAATACCCCTTCTAAAACTGCAAACAGTTTGAAAAAACTCCACTGGCAAATAAAAGAAAAATGGCTGGCTTCAAAAATACATTTCAATTTGACAATATTCCAGTATCCTATAGATATTAAGGATTACAACTATGCAGTCTATTCCAACATAAGGAACACGTAAAGAAATTAAGGGGAAGAGAAGAATGTAAAATATTAGATACATGGATTTATAACAATAAAATACATATATCCAAAGATAATAACAAATATGAATCTAGAGTATTAGAAATAAATGAATAAAATTTCATATTCATTAGAGTATTTTTAAAATGTAATACTGCTTAAGTTTATATTTAAAAAAAATTTATACAATTCTTGCTTTTTGTATTTTAGGATTTTGAGATTCCTAGGTAAAGGAAAACTAATTAAAAAAACCAGAAATAACTGTGAAAAGATTTATTGTTTGCAATATAAATAATAATAAAAAAAACTACCTATAAAAAACCATGTTAGACTCATTATACACAATGATAATGTGAGTGGGATGGAGGTCAGGTAGAGGAAGTAGATAGTGAATCCTGATCTAGTCACAAATTTTAATGAAGCTCACTGCAGTGACGGGGGTCTCTAACCAGAAGTCTAACGTGGCAAAAAAGCCAAGCATAACAAGCTTCTGACATGCCCTAGTCACAACGTCATCTCAAAAAAGGTAGAAGAAGCAAAGAGGAGACCATATACTCTGGTTCCCTGTTATGAGGAAATGAGAAGACTCTGGGGAGAAAGAGACCACATTATGCTGGAGACTGAGAGAGCCAGGAAGGGAAGAACAGCATTGTCCAACATATACCCTACGCTGGGGTTGACAAATATATGAGAAGGTGGCTGACACATTCTTTCTCTTTGGGGAAGTTTGTTTGATGGACATATAAAACACTCATTCCTAAATTATGCTCCATGGAACAGATGTGCCACTAAAAAGGGTTTGATAGTCAAATGAGTTTTGAAAAACTCCCTCTGGGAGATCACAATATATATTAGCCTATTTAGAGACTCAGAGAAGTCCACCAGTAAAGAAACTTGTTTAACTGAAGAATTTCCATATTAATTTGACCACAAAATCCTCTCGTGTAGGTATATGAGAAATACTCATTAACCTACCAAAAAATTGGTGTTTCCCTCTTACTGAAGGATGCTATAAGAAACAGCCTAATGTAGCACTTCTCAAACTGGTGCGGAGGGACAACCATGTTCTGCGAAAGTTAACAGGTAATTCTCCCCTCTCCCCCCCAGAAAAATTTCCCATTCTCAATAAACTTATTTGTTCAAACAAAGTTTGTACAGGTTTCCTTTTTACAGATAAGTTCCCTCAGCCTTTGATATTAATCTATTCTTTGAGCAATCCCTTCCCCCATCACAAAATTTAGGAAACACTGTCCTAATGAAAGCTTTTCTTAACACTTAAAATAGAAATATGCTCAGGACATTATGCATTACATCTCAGTGGACCCTCAATGTTGCCCCACATAAGGCTTCAGTGTTGGGGTAAGCTTTACTCCTCCTTAAGAACAAGAACTATTTCCCTCTCAGTGAGAACTAACATCATGCTTTGCTTTTTGCTTCTGGCCATCAGAAAGTTCAAAGTTCAACATGGAACTTCAACTATAGCAAATGATGGCTATTACAGCCTACAAATCTGCCTCTTTCTTTCTTCTAATCTCAGTCTATTCTATTCTATTCCACATTTCTCCTGCTCTGGATCCTGAAAATAAACAAACAATACACACACACACACATCTATACACACACACACACACACACACACACACACACACACATATATAAATTACATTACATTAAACAGTCAGACTAACATTAACTTCAATTTAGAAATGTGGCCAGATTTCAGCAAGCGTATGTCAGGTCTTTCACCATATCCTTGTGAAAAAGATGGAGAAACGGAATGTTCAGTTAGGTAGACATAATTGTTTGATTCAAAAGGACAGCTATCAACCTGAAAGGAAGTTTCTGCCTGAAAGACTCTGGAGCTTTTCCCTCTGTGCTCCCATTCTATTTTGTTCATATTCCATTACAGTAATTACCACACTGGATTATATTCTATATATCTGTTCTCCCACTAGACTGTGAGCTTCTAAAGGTTTGTTTCTTTATATTTACGATTCCCCAATGACGAGGACAGTACAAGTTGAGGGTGCTAAATAAATATTTGGAATATGGGTATTTTTAGTGAATACTGAAAGACTGCCTTCGGCACTGTTCAGCTCATCATTTTGAGCCATGACCTAGATGAAGGCAGGTATATCAATTTCAGAGATGACATGAGCTGGGAAAATAATGTTGGAAGAGAGAATCCAGAAATGTGTTGGCAGCCTGGAACAATGGGCCAAATTTAACAAAATGAAGGAATAAAATAAGGCCCTATTCTTGGGTCCAAAAAAAAAATAACTACAAAAGCACAGGTTTCATCTCAGGGTTTTCCCAAGCTCCTGTTAGTATGATACGGTTAAAACAAAACAAATGTGATCATAAACTGCATTAATCAATGTATAGTATCTAGAAAAAGGGAATAGGTTGTATGAATGTACTAATTAAACAACACATGAAATATCACCTGGTCAAATCTGAGCATTGCATTTAAAGAAGGATACTGACAAACAGCTAAAATTGATGATGTTGAGGGACTCAAAACTACATCACACAACAGGAGAGACTACCAAGGTTTAATAGGGAGAATAAAGGATTCAGATGGAACATGATAGCTGCTTCAAAAGGCCATAGGAAGAGTTAAAATTTGTTATGTAAAATCCCAAAGCTGTAGAAGCAACTTGTAATTAATTATGTGAAAACCAATTTAGGCTCAATATGAGAAAGAACTTATCAACATTAAGTAGAAACTCAGGAGCCAGTGAGTACCTTATCAGATCATAGGTTGTAAAGGAAATTCAATCACTAGCTAGGTAGTTTCACTACAGGATTTGGCATTTTAAGTGCAATTCTGCCTATAGCAGGAAGATTTTTGAAGGCTACTGTACATAAAAGATATGCAAAATTGGTCTAATTACTTGTTAGTCATTCCACATCATATATATTTTGAGAATGCATTGCTAAAAAGAGCTCACATTCTTAGCTAACCGAAGTTGTAAATTAATCAATGCCTTTGTGAAGGGGTAAAAAGATGATGAATGAGAACTAGAGCTGAAAGACTTCTTTTCTGGCTAACCAACCTGAACCAGTTGCTGTCAAGTCAATTCTAACTCATGGCGACCCCATTGTGTCAGAGTAGAACTGTACTCCACAGAGTTTTCAATGGCTAATTTTTCTAAAGTAGATCACCAGGCCTTTCTTCCAAGGTGCCTCTGGGAGGACTTGAATCTCCAACCTCCAACGTTTTGGTTAGCAGCCAAGCGTGTTACACATTTTCACCACCCAGGGAATCCTTCTAGCTAACAGGAGGCCTTTATGCCTGAAAAACATTCTTTGTATTTTACTTACCTCAGTAATGCCTAAAGACACATGTACAGTTAGACTGATTATGGACTTTTCCAGTCCAAGCAATACTCTTTTTTTGGAGGGGGGGGCTACTGATAATTTTTTTTTAAATTATGCTTTAAGTGAAAGTTTACAATTCAAGTTAGTTTCTCATACAAAAATTTATACACACATTATTATGTGACCCTAGTTGCTCTCCCTATACTGTGACAGCACACTCCTCCTTTCCACCCTGGATTTCCCGTGTCCATTCAACCAGCTCCTGACCCTCTCTGCCTTCTCATCTCGCCTCCAGACAGGAGCTGCCCATTTAGTCTCATGTATCTACCTGAGCTAAGAAGCACACTCTTGATGAGTATCATTTTATGTTCCACAGGTAAGCAACACTCTTAATTTGAAAAGAAGCAACTGTTTATTATGAAATGTTTAGTAGAATTGTTTATCATGTTACAAGTGTTTTTAAAGAGCAATTAATATTCAGTTTGAGGCCAAGCCTGTCAGGGATATTGCTCTAGTAATTCTCCTTTCTCTCCTGCATCATCAAATTTCCTCTACTGACTCTTTCTCACCAGCATACAAACAGCACATTTCTTTCAAGCTAAAAGAACCCTCTCTTATTACCACTTCTCCCTCGATTTTTCTAACAGAACTCTTTCAAAGTGTCCATTTTTGCTTTCCCTAATCTGTGTCTGATTCTCTCTTTGAACCCATTCCAGTCAGGCTTTTACTTCATCCATGCCATAAACACTATTTGTATTCAGATCAATAATGACCTCTGCACTGCTACATCCACTGGTAAATTCTCAGTTCTTATCTTACTCCATTTATTAGAAGCATTTGACACAACTGATTCCTCCCTTATCCTTGAAACACTTTTTTTTTTTTTTTTTTAATGAAGAGAAGTTTATTTCCTCACAATCAGAGTAGGCTAAAAGTCCAAATTCAGGGTGTCAGCTCCAGGGGAAGGCTTTTTCTTTCTGTCGGCCTTCTTCTCTTCGGTGTTCCCCTGGACTAGGAGCTTCTCGGCACAGGCACCCCGGTCCTAAGGACGTGGTCTGCTCCTGGCACTGCTTTCTTGATAGTATGAGGTCCCCATCTCACTGCTCACTTCTGTCTTTTATATAAGAGATTGCCTCAGCACACAATCCAGTCTTGTAGATCCAGTCCTGCCTTACTAACACAACTGCCACCCATCCTCCCTCATTAACATCATAGAGGCAGGTTTACAACATACAGGAAAATCACACAGTACCAGGAATCATGGCCTAGCCAAACTGATACACACATTTTTTGGGGGACATAATTCAAACCATGACATGCCACCCTTTGGCCCCCAAAAAATCATATCTTTGCAACATGGAAA